AAATATGTAGGAGGGCTGCCCTAGTATGCACATTTTCAAAACTCTCTCCAGGTTATTCTGATTCATCATTGCTCTTCACCTCCCCCATCAGAACCATTGAGCTAGATCATGTAGCTACTCCCAGTGTTCCTCACAGTGTGGTCCTCAGACCAACAGCCACAGCATCACCCGGATGTTTATAAGAAATGCGTCACTCAGGTCCCATCCTAGAGCAACTAAAACAGCAATTTGGGGAAGAAGCCTGGGATCTAGGTTTTAACAAAGTCTCTGGGAGATTCAGATGCAGGCTAACATTTCAGAAATGCTGATGATGTAAATAATCATCCATCCACTAGTGGGTTTGGGACAACCAGTAGAGGACCACCTACAACCTGGATAGTTAAGATTACCTCCAGAAACAAGTATAGGGCTGGCCTGACTTCCTCTTGTGTAGAGAGGTAGGAGGGTCCAGCAGGGGTGATGTCATGTCAGCCACAGTATCCCAAGGTCAAAGACTTGGCCAAGCAGATGATTTCCTGGGGTAGCAAGGAAAGAGAAAGCTTGATACTGAGAGCAAGTTATATGATTAGGAATGCCAAGGGTGGGAAGCAGAAATACTAAATCTTTTTAGAGTTCAATGTAAGGTCTGAGGCCAGACTCTCCCCCCCCAACCTCAAAAAAACCCACAACATACAACAACAAAACAATAGTCTTGACTAGGATTCTGAGACCATATGTAGAGGAGCCTGGGAAGTCTTGTGCTATTTTTATTGATGCATGAGTATGATGGCCTGGCTAAAGGCATAAGGGCAGAGAAAGAAGGGTGAGACTGAAATGGGCATGAAAGTGTGTGCAGTGTTTTAGGCTCCCCAATTACACTGCCCCAGCCATGACTTACTGTCCTTTTTTTCCAAAACAGATGCCACTGGACTATTCCCAAAGGATGCATTTCTCTGTAGTCTTAGTACTGAAAAGATATAAAATGATATAAAAAGATATAAAAGTCACAAGTCGAATATCTTAAAATTTAAGCTATGGTGAGAAACGAAAAAAATCTCAACCCAAATGTAAGGTTTGTTCTAATTGTACTTTATTTGTGCGGTTCTTTACACAGAAGAAGCATTTATTAGATATTAGCTGATTGGGGATTACAAATGAAAAACCCAACTTATGAAATCACAGTTATGATGAAAATATAATTTTGCAAAGAGTATTAAGGTGATTGAAATAGGCAGGACCATCATGAACAGGCAGGTCTGGGATGGCGGAGTCAGAAATTTGGACTCCCCAGAGTTGAAAGAACAAGTTAAGGGGGAGGGGCGGATGGTCCCAGTCAGAGCAGGAGGAGGGTTCCTTACTAGGAAACCTGCCTGGTCGGCATCAGTGGCTGTCTCATCACCAGCTCAAACTTCTCATGGCCAAAGCAGAATCATAAATCACTCCCCCCGCCCCCCCGCTCCAAAATCCTTGTCATTTTACATGGCGGGGCTTTACATATCCTATGGCCTTTGTCAGCAGAGCTTCATTCGCCCCTCCTAGCAAAAGGAAGCTGTATTTTACGTTGAGACTGTTCTCAGATTACCTTGCCTCTGAAGCCCTCACTGGTCTCTCAGTCCATTGTCCCCGCCACCCACAAACGACTTCTCCTTCACAATCTAAACCCTCTGCCAACAAATGTGGGTTTTTTATTGTTGTTGTTGTTTTTAATGTTGTTTTTTCATTGATTTCAGAGAGAGAGAGACAGAGACAGAGAGACAGAGACAGAAAGAAACATTGATGTGAGAGTGAAACATTGACTAGTTGCCTCCTGCACTCCCACTATAGGGGATGGAGCCTGCAATCTGGGCATGTGCCCTGGTCAGGAATCGAACCAGCAACTTCTCAGTGCATGGAGCGATGCCCAACCAACTGAGCCACACCGGCCAGGGCAACATACATTTTTAAAATGCATATTTCCCTGTAGCTGTTTATAAGTTTACTTTTCCCAATAGACCATGACCTATTTGAAAGTAAAAACAAAATTCTATATACTAGGCCCTTGGTACATAGTAAGAGCTTAACAATTATGTGCTAAAAAAATAAATAGAGACGCAAAATAGAGACTCAGAATGATGGCCTTGCATAGAATTGTTGGAGAACGGAAAATAAGACTTGGTGCAGAACTGGCCCTGCCAGAGGAGAAGGCATTAGAGATGATCTCTCCCCCTGACCTTTACTACTTAAGTATAAGCTTGAAGTAAGGTCTTTTGGGGAGGCCTGGAAGCTGACTCTAATCCCAGGAAGAGTGACAGGGAAAGATGTACTTTATGAATTGTGACTTCAAGAGGCATTTTGGATTGAAGGTAATGGGGTTGGGGTGGGGTAGAGAGGCCATGCCTTCATCTTAGAATTTTTTATCCTGAAATGGAGAGGTCTAGTCAAGAAATGGGGTATTCAGAGTAATGTCTGTCCTCTAGGTAAGAGAGGTAAAGGATGCATCCATTGTTCAGTCTGCTAAACAAACTAGAATGTGGGCTGAAATTCTACTCGGGGTAAAAGAATTTGCATGTGGCTGGTACTCTCCATTGCCTCTCTCGGGAACAGAGGGCGAAACTCAAATGGCTACAGGGTGATAACGGAGTGAAGCTGGCATGTGTGACAGATAAGACGTAGTGTGAAGTGAGGACAATAGGAGGCACTTCCTGTATCAAGGACCCCCACAAACTGCTACCCACAACCACTGCTCAGCTTCCGATGATAATTTCTATGCAGGAATATGGGCCCATGGTTGCCAGATCTCTCTTATTTTGATGAGAGGCAGAAATCCAGATATAGAATACAATTTCTCAATTTCAAAAGGTAGACAATGATGAACTTATTTTAAATTACACTAAATTACACTTGAGCTTGCATTGTACAGGCCAAACAATACACATCTGAACGCTGAATCTGGATTGTGAGTTATCAGTTCGTAATACACATGATTTGAAAGGAGAAAGAGATACTCCAAGAGCCCTTATTCATTCATTCAGAGGGTGGAATTTACTCAACACGATCCAGAGCTTCCCCTTCATCTTGTTACCTGGCTCTGACCATGGCTTTGATACCCCCATGGTCTTGTCTGCTCAAAATCTACCCTTCCATTAACATCTTCCAGGAGGAAGACCATCTAAACGTCTTAAAAACAGAGTATCAGCCCATTCACTGTACAGGGAATTCAGTTAAGGGCTGTTTTTCTTACTCAGTTAATAAAATAAAAGTGGACAAGCATTAACATTTGGTGTACTCAGTTGGAGCCTGGAGAAGGGAGATATCTTACCTGAACTTCCATAAAAAAGTATATAAAGATTTGCCCACAGGCTACTTTAGAGAAATAAAAATCAAAGTGAAGTGCACTTTTCTTAAGATAAAAAATAAGATGGGTCTATAAAGTTTCATTTCAAATATGTGGCACCGAGTGGCACTGGCCTAGATTTCCACTGGGCAAGTTTTCACCTACAAATACACTGACAGAAAGCATTGGTGAGTGGTACATGGGGATGATAGGCCAGAGGGTGGGTGAAGACGGGAGAGGCACCCGGAGGAATTAGAGAAATTCTCAGAGCAATTAGAGAAATTTTATTAAGTGACGCAGAGGCAGAATTGAAAAAACAAACTTAGTTGATCAAATGCAAGTTTAAGTGGATGTTCTCAGCTCAGTTTTTTTTAATACAGCAATATTTGTAAGCCCCAGAAGATTGAAGCTGAAATGGTTTTAAATAAATTTTAACTCATTTTGCATTCACATAGTAGGAGAGGAGGGAGACGATTTTACTGGTTTACAGGAGAAACAGTCTAAGGGTTTCCGTAGTAGAGAAAGAAGTTGATTTCAGCTCAGACAGATTTTTTTAAGCTTCAAGGGGTTGTGTCTGGGCTAAGACAGGCATGCTATTCCTAAAGTCCTACCAAACAGAGAGTGTCAAGATATTTCAGGGCTGCTCATGTCCTGAAGGGCCCATAGAACTCAGACCATAAGCAACTATAAAGACCGCCTGCTTCCGGACCCCTTGCTTGTGATCAGCCTTCCAGATTGAGGAGTGTAACATCAGCACAGTTCAAAGTAAATTCTTCAAGGAGAGATTAAGAATCAGTGAGGACTGATTGGCATCTGTGAGTGTGTGTGTGTGTGTGTGTGTGTGTGTGTG